CATTTACACAGAGTAAAACATTTTACATCTCATGTTGTCAGCATTCCAAATCTTGCCAAATTTCATTTCATATGTTTACAATTACATGCTGATTTTTGATATAGCTTCGTTACTTTTGTGGTGTAGTGGGCTAAAGCACTGAGCTGGTAAGCAGATCATACAATTTCTATTTGGGGGGTTTAAAGGGTTAGTTCAGCCAAACATATAAATTCAGTCATTATTTGCTTGCCTCAACGCTGTTCAATCCTTGTGCTGCTGTGGACATCTCCATCCTCACTGCACACAGCAGTGTTTTGCTGCACAATGATTTAACAGAGGAAACCATAACCTATATTTACATACATGCAAAAATGGGCTGTGCAAGACAAAATTTTAATGCTGAACAAAGGGGGGGGGGGGACACAGTAACCCTTGATATTCTGAAATGTATTATGCAATAAATGATAGTTTTAGTATTTACAATATTAGTAAAAGTTTAACATTTCTCCTAAAATTAAATTAAAGACATCTGAAGACAAAGCTAATATCTCAGTGGGACATACAGTATAAGAGAATCACCCCTTAGTATCCTGAGCTTAGAGTAAGCTCTGTCAGAGCCATAGCCTTGTAGGCAGCACACTGACGTCAAGACACAACTGCTCCTCAAACAGCCTGAGTTTGAGTCCCAGCTGAAGGTACTTTCCTACATCTGCTCCCTTCTCACCTCTCCCACTGTTTCCTGTCTCTACTCTGCCTGTTTTGACCATTAAAGTTGAAAAGCCCCAGTGTAGCCAAGAAAAAAAGAATGTCCAATGAAACGTTTTTAATGAATAGAGTCTTGAAAGAGATTACAGCAAGACAAAGAGATCTGCCCATGTTTCTCATTGTCATTTTGAACTCTTTTCTCCCAGAACTTTCTCACGTCTCAGTTGTGTCGACTTTAATTTCTCCTAAGGAATTTTATACATGAGAATCACTACTAAGTCTCCTGAGTTTAGAAAGAGCAACCACTGAGCAATATATTCCTATAATAGAATCTTGATAGAGATTGCAGCAAGATATTGATGTTTCTTCCGCCACATTCTCAGTTTTGACTCTTTTTTTTCTCTCAAATATTTCTCATGTCTCCCCTTACAGAAAAACCACATGAATTTCACGTTTTCTACATGTCCACATGTTTTCCACATTAAATTTCACATGTGCAGAACCACATGTGAAATTCATGTGGTTTTTCTGTAAGGATCATTTGTGTCTACTTCAAGGAAGTCGTGGCCTAATGGCTAGAGAGTCGGACTCGTAACCCAAAGGTTGGAGCACTAATTCCGAGTATGGGTCACCATACTTGGCCACATGTCACTTCACTTCACTTCTATTTCTCCTAAGGAATTTTAGGAGAAACATTTGAAACACTGTTGATACTAAAATGAGAGATGTGAGAATTTAAGGAAGAGCAACCCCTGAGCAATAAATTTTTTCCTCTTGGTCTTCAAATCTCAAAAAATTTGACATTCAGATGAAATGGCAAAATTAAAAATAGCCATATAGACATTCATCAAAAGTGCTGAGATGAGATATTGTGCCCCGTCTTACAACAAGTTTTTTTTTTCCAAGTTCAGTGTTGGTATATTAAGATTTCTTGATGTGTTAAGTAGCATAATAAACCTAATAATATTAATTCAAAGTACATTTTTTAAAAAGTCATCACTTTCAGCGGGGCTAAAGGGGCACGAGGGTAAAAGATTTGACTTTATTCTCTTTCAACCACATTAAAATTTACCTCAGCACTCTGGTCAATCAGAGCAGACTGCACTTGTCTGAGGGACTTTGTAGAAAACGACGTGTTTGAGAGAGGCGGGGCATAGAGGACCTACAATAATGTACAGTATTTGAAAAATAATGTGTTTTTTGAACATTAAAGCATGTCAACATATTCTGTTACACCAAATACACCAAATAATGATCTTTAAAAAAGCATCATAGGACCCCTTTAACAACCGAGTTTGACCATGCATCTAGAAATTTGGCTGCTACTTGATGCAATCGCGGACTGCAAGGCACTTTTTGTTTTTAATATTGTAGATTTATGTAGCAAATGAAGAATCAATAAAATTGTTAGCTAATTAACTATAGCTATTTTGAGACAAATGTCTTGTTGACGCTTTTAAGCTTTGTTCAAGGTAATTAAAGCTTATTTATTTATTAACTTCATTTATTTAAATATAACGGAAGAATATGTATTTGGGGTAAAAAAAAATCTCGCGTAGGCTAATATAACTTGTGTTTGTTTAAAAAACATTTTTTTTAAATTGTTTTCGCCATGAAAATAGCCTAAGATGCTGGCATTAAATAGGATACACTACTACTACTACTACTACTACTACTACTACTACTATACATTTGGGGTAAAAAGCACTCCTGCTGTTGGGGCTAAAGACTAGCGTTGCAAAAAGGTGGAAAATGTCCAGTAAATTTCGGAAATATTCCAGAAATTTTGGAAACTTTCCAGGATTTTTTTTTTTGAATATTCCAGGGATTTTTGGAAAGTTTCCGGAAATTTACCGGACATTTTCCACCCCATTGCAACCCTACTAAAGACACAATAATTAACATGATTTGAAATAGCTGGCAGACTTTTCAATTTGCTGACATGGTTAGTTTCAGATGGTAAATATCATACTGTTTATTAAGCTGGGCGTCCACCTTATTGGAAATAATTACCATATTTATAATGAAACATGTTTAGTATCATATAATAAAATAAACGGAAAGTAGTTCAAACTTTGCTAAAGTGATTGTTTTAAGAGTATTCAATTGTTAAAGTGTTTGTATAACTAATACTAATACTGCGTTAAGCTAACTGAGACTTGTCATAGCACTTGTATATCATTGCTCTTTTGTTGATTTTGATTGCTTCCATTGTCCTCATTTGTAAGTCGCTTTGGATAAAAGCCTCTGCTAAATGACTGAATGTAAAAGTATGTAAATGTATAAATACGTTGTGCCTTTTGCCCCATGCCTGTGAGCTACTCTGTGTGGTAAAAGTGCCGCCTCATACAGTTGTGAGACTTTTAAACAAAACAAACCACTTTTATGATTTGCTTTCACACAAAATATGTTGCTCAATCAATGTACAATAAAAACATACATGCATATTTTTCTTCAGTTGTGCCTTTAACCCGTGGTGTATATAGGCTACTGTTGTATAGGCTCTTTTGTTTTTGGTGCTGCCCCCTAACCCCGCCTCCAGACTAAAGTCCGCTGAACTCCTCTGATGGGACTGTCAGTTCAGAGAAGGCTGAGAAGATGAGGATGCAGTGGCTCAATGCATTACTTGTCATCTGGATTCACTGTCATATGTGCAGGACAGAGTTTGAGCTGACTTTACTCCACACTAACGATGTTCACGCACGAGTGGAGGAGACCAACAAGGACTCGGGCAAATGCACTAAACCGCCTTGTTTCGCTGGAGTCGCGCGGAGGTTTACGAAAATCAAACAAGTTCGTAGCAAGGAGAAAAATGTACTCCTGCTGGACGCGGGCGATCAGTTTCAGGGGACCGTCTGGTTTAACTTCTACAAAGGCGCAGAAGCGGCGCATTTCATGAATAAACTCGGATATGATGCGATGGTAAGCATTATGTCCATTAATTATCGGGTTCACGGAAGACTGAGATAAATGTAAGATTTTTAAAGAACTGATTTGCATCGAACAGCTTTGGATTTCTTACAGGGGCCGTTGTAAAATTACGGCGGTAACGTTTGACATTCATTAGACATTCGTTTTTTTTTTTGGCAATTAAAACTCTTTGCGGAGTTTGAGCGCAAACTAACTCAGATAGACATAAATATATGCCCTTTACGTTGCGCAAGGCTTAATTTCTCTTAATTTAACTACGTGACATTATAATATAAAACCAATACTAAAATGTTCAGAAAAACATCCCTGCTATTGCACAAAGTTCCGTTTTTGGAATTACCATTTTATGTGTTTTATAATAATTTTACAACTTTTAATGTATGCAACAATATAAATCCATTAAAGGACAACACCATTTGATCTAAAGGTATCAAACCAACTGTAAAATATTCAGAATATTATTCCCTATAATGCACAAGGCTTGGTTTTCAGAGTATGCCTTTATTGTTTTTATATACAGTAGTGAATCCATATTTTTCATATGTTTAATATACTGTACCCACTTAAATTAATTAAACTCTGACACCGTTTGAGATAAAGGTATCAAACCAACTGTAAAGTATTCAGAATATTATTCCCTATAATGCGCAAATTTCGGTTTTCAGATTATTAATCTGGTTTTTTTTTGACAGTACTGATCCCATTTATATCTATGAAACTTGAACACCATTTAAGCTAAAGATATCACACCAACTGTATATTTTTCAGCTAATTAATCTGATGTTTTTTATGTAGAGTACTGAACTTTAAATTTTTTTTAGACAGTCCTGGAACCCATTTCAATACTAGAGGTCGACCGATAGTGGATTTTGCCGATACCGATAGCTAGGTTGGATATACATATGGATATTGTATGTATACTCTCACACTTTAACTTCTTATATTCTTGAACACTTGATGATTTTCTAACCAAAATAAAAGCGCAGCGCTGAGTCTAGGACAGGGGCCGGGAACCTTTTTTGACCAAAGAGCCATTTTTTTTATTTTTGGTTAATGCATTTTTCCGAAAGAGCCAAAGTAAAAAAATTCCAGAAGTATTTCAGCAAGCTATGTGGGTTTAAAAAATTAATAAATAAATATTATCATCGTGAAAAGGTTACATGGCCTCATCCCTTGAGCGAGTTGTGATTGAGGACGCGGGCTCAGCCTCAGTTGTGTTGCCATATACACATATCCTCGCGCCGTGGAGAAAAAGGGATGGGACAGAGGGGGACTACGGAGGAGGACAAAGGAGTGGATGTGGGATGGAAAATGGAGCTGACGGAGGGAGGAGCCATGGTGGAGGAAGGGCTGACAACTCCAAGGGGCTGGCCGACGGCGGCGGAGCAGGTGGTGGAGGAGCCTGAGGCGGAGACGGAGAGCCAATGAGCCAGGGCGACACCGAGGATCCGGAGGGCCAAGGCAGAGCAGATGGCGCCGGCGACCGAGGCGGGGATCCGGAAGGCCGCGGTGGAGCCAGAGCTACTGAGTCCACTGCTGCCCACACACACCATATTGCGACTCCCAATACTGGGAGTGCAGCAGACAGGGGAACGACATCCCTGGTCGTTTCAGGATTGGCGGATTGTTCAGGGCAAATAGATAATTCTGGGCAAGCAGAGAGTTCATAGCAGACAAATGATTCAGGGCAGGCAGAGAGTTCATATGAAGGCGGGAGAAGAGGGGGCATGTCTGCATATATGTCCCCATAACAGTCCATAGAGCGCTGCTCACCCTCAGCCATGATGCAGTGGGCGGAGTTTCCCTCCGCGCTCTCGCTGTTCATAGCGCTCTCCACCGTGGCGAGCTCTGTTGCCGGCTCTCGCACCTGGTCTGACGTTGCGGGCTCTGGCTCTGCGGCGATCCTCAGCTCTGTCGCTGTCAATGGCGATGGCTCGTCGGTTGCGGCGGGCTCTGGCTCTCTGTCAGCGGTGGGCTCAGGCTTTGGCTCCGCGCCAGGATGACTTTGAATAGCATCATTGTAAAATTGTGAGGAAGAGCTTAAAAAGTCTTGCACATGCATTTCCTGGTCTGAGAGTGACTTCCTGCTTAAACAGGAAGTAATAGATACTAAAAAAAGGTAGAATGTATGTATGTGTAAGGAGAATGTAAGTGTGTGAGAGTGCCAGAATGAATTATGGCTTGTACGGCCCCTCATAACACAAACACACACACACACACACACACTCACACATATATATTGTTTAAATTGATTTAAATGGTTCATTTTTTAAATTTTTTCCCCCTAGAAATTCAGCTTTGTGCAATGTAAAGGGCTTATATTTATGTCTATCTGAGTTAGTTTGCGCTCAAAACATAACAGTCGCAAAGAGTTTAATTGGCAAAAAAAACGAATGTATAATAAACGTCAAACGTCAAACTAACTTTTCCGCCATTAAAAACGTTGGGAATGGGAATGGAACAGAACGCTTGACGCTTTAAAACAAAAAAGCTGAAACATTTTTAACACGCGTTCAGTTTTCCCTTATTTTGTTTGTATCTTGCATGTTTTTCTTATGTGTTTTTTATATGTTGGTGATGTACTATGAAGCCAGAGAAAATTTTCCACAACGTGGATAATAAAGTAGCCTACAATCAAGTAAAGTAAAGTATAAACACATGCACCCTTGTACATAGAGCAATGTAAAAAGTTCACAATTGAGCGTGCCCACACCCAAAGCAACTCGATGCGATTAAACGATTAATGCAAATGAGTCATCGTGTAGCTACTTCGGAGAAGTGGGAAAAAAAAAGATTTCTAACAAATCCTTCCTGAAAGTTGCTCATCACAGTGACTCATGGGATTTCTTTGAAGTGTTGACAGGTTTTCCATCATTATAGGCGCCAAAGGGATGTATTCCTCATTTTATCATTGACGTACTGTAGAGCAGAAGTGGACAGAGTGTACTGGACAGGTTTCCATGAGCCACTGGAGTCTTCATTACAGTGGACAGAGCACCTGTTCAGGTGTAGTGGGACTCAAACTTGTGGAACATAAACAGAATAGGTGTCTCCCAAATGCAGATTCCCGAATCACCCACTGTCAAAGAAAATTTAGAAATGCTTGGGTGAATTCTTCTATTCTCCATTTAAAGTGCTACAAAAGAGCCATAAATAGAAAACTTTTTGGACTTAAATTGTTGATAGAATATAATTATTAAACTATATATGTTTATATGTTGTTTATATTTAAATACATGTATTTTCCTTTTTAATTGTTACATTGTAAAGAATTTTGTTTTTATGGTTGGTGACACTGGACTCGGCACCTTACGGAAAACTATTTGCTGTGCATGTGTTCCTTCAGAACATGTTCAGCACTGCTTCAACATGCCTTTATTATTAGCGATTTTTTGCAAACATTTCTTTGAGTAACATGACCATAAATATGAACTCACGATTGAATGTAACATAAAACAAATGATTACTTTTCGTTAAAATCTTTATTAATGTCAAAAATGCTTACATTTATGTGTCTTTTTGTTCACTCGCACAGCCATGTTGCCGCTGAAGCCGGTTTACGCTGAGTTAATTCATACCCCTTCGTTTGAAGTGTGGTCCCGAAAAATCTTCGTTTGAAGGGCTGTCTGGCCCTTCCCCTACCCCTACCCCTCCAACCAAAAGAGAATTGAGACACCCCTACCCCTTCACGTGAACGCGCGAAACGGAGGGGTAGGGCAAAGGGGAAGGGCTAAGGGGTAGAATTGGGATTGGGCCTAAGTATATAGGTGAAATGTGTCATTTTAAATGGCTTACTGATAGCTGTCTCTTCGTGTTAAAGTAGGCTATTTTTTATTTATTTAATATTGTAAAGGTCTTTGCACACGTGTTTTCATGTGTTTTTTTTACGTATTTGTCGTCGTTTTTTAGTCAAAATGCTTGCTACAGATGCGAAAAATGCAGAAAATTGAACTTGATCCAAATTTTTTTATGACGGGCGATTTAATGTAACATAAAACAAATGATTGCTTTTCGTTAAAATCTTTATTAATGTCAAAAATGCTTACATTTATGTGTCTTTTTGTTCACTCGCACAGCCATGTTGCCGCTGAAGCCGGTTTACGCTGAGTTAATTCATACCCCTTCGTTTGAAGTGTGGTCCCGAAAAATCTTCGTTTGAAGGGCTGTCTGGCCCTTCCCCTACCCCTACCCCTCCAACCAAAAGAGAATTGAGACACCCCTACCCCTTCACGTGAACGCGCGAAACGGAGGGGTAGGGCAAAGGGGAAGGGCTAAGGGGTAGAATTGGGATTGGGCCTAAGTATATAGGTGAAATGTGTCATTTTAAATGGCTTACTGATAGCTGTCTCTTCGTGTTAAAGTAGGCTATTTTTTTTAAATTTAATATTGTAAAGGTCTTTGCACACGTGTTTTCATGTGTTTTTTTACGTATTTGTCGTCGTTTTTTAGTCAAAATGCTTGCTACAGATGCGAAAAATGCAGAAAATTGAACTTGATCCAAATTTTTTTATGACGGGCGAAAATTTCAGACTCGGTGCGCAAAGACCTTAAAGCTGATTGCAGAGCTTGTGCAATCATCCACATGGCTATGATCAGATGCTTTCTTAACTGCTGTTGTTTCACCGCTTTCATTTTTGTTGTATGCTTATTTTGTTATTGAGAGGAAAGCGCACAGCACATATTTACATATTCACCCAAACGCCGCTACTTCAGTGTGAGCGTTGAGATGTTTGCTAACAGTATAACACTGCAAAGGTACTTTAATCTTTCTTCGCCCAAACTGAAGAAAATAAATTTGCCTTGAGTATAGCGGGTCACTAGGTGTCTGTGAGTTTTAGATGTAGCAACAGTTTGTCCTTTGTAAAGCTAACGATGGAAGTCTGAAGGACCGCACAGACAGTCACTCTTTGAGATACGACAGTCATTTGGCACAGATGGCAGTGTAGTCAACTGACAGCGACATATGTGACCCGTGATGGCAAAATGAGTCA